TATATATATATATATAAGTATGTAGATTATAAAAACCGTCTAATGTCGTTTTCTTGGTAGGTTAAATCAATGTAGTCATACTAATTCCTACTAATATTATAAACGCGAAAGTTTGTACGGATGTGTATGTGGATGTTTGTTACTCTTACACGTTAAAACGGCTTAACTGATTCGGATGAAATTTGCCACATATTGAAGTAGTTTATTATCTAGATCGACACATAGGTTACTTTATTTTGGAAAATGTTAAGTTACTGCGGGATTCCCAAAAAACTTAGTACCTACTTAATAATCTTCAACGTGAACGTGCAATATCGAGACTGGTAACTGGTGTAGTTTCATTATCTATATTTGTCTTTCTATTTCTTTCTAATTAACAGAAAGAAAGTGACAGCGTCTATTTGAAATCCCTTAGTGCGGCCCTAGTCTAACTAAACAGGGCGCTATTTACACCACACATTCTCTTGTTACACTGAGTCAAGTGCATTATAAGAGTGTCTCATATTACTTTTACGACAAACCCTTTCGTAAATCTAGATATGATATCTGCTTGATTTGATTGAGAAGTCATTATAAGAGAGATAGGCGGATTTCTCGCTGGTACTACAAATAAAAATATTGTTTATTTTGCAATAAAATGACACGTACTTACATGGTAATATTCTTATAAGACTATTTACACTAAGGCTAATATTTTACATTAAATAATAATTGACATCTTCAGCCAAACTAGGAAATTTATCCTGTATATTGGCTTCAGCGCGCTTCCCCTATTTTCCTTCTAATAAAACCAATACAAATAAGAAACAATAAAAATCACCTTACATTATTCAAAATTACAATACATTTATTTAGTGAAAGATAATAAACACACGTGTGTGTGTATTTTTCAATGTGTATACATATATATGTGCGTGTATTTTATCGTATATACATGATGGATGTGTCTTTATACTAATTATTATAGAACGGGATGGATAGGATGTGTCTTTTTACTTATTATTATAGAACCGTGGCAAGTAAATCCTCAGTTTTTTTTTATAATTTAATATAAGCAATAAATTTATGACCTCTTTTTAGAGACCAAGAGAACTAGAGCCCCAGTGTGGGTAAATAAAATAAAGGAGACACTGTGGAGGTGTGTTAACGACACCGGCGCTAGCGCAGAAAAATATAAGAATACCTTGGCACTTGGCAAAGTATAAGGTTATAAGGAGATAAGCCAACTAAGATTTTCAACCGGCTGAAATTTTATGAAATTCAAATCAAACGATTCACGGAATATTATTAATTACATTTATTTTACTATAGTAATTAATATGGTCAATAAAATAGAACTACAACAATGAAACTTATGCACTGTGGTTAATGTACACTGAATATAATTATAGCCCCAAGATAAAACCTTGCGCAACCCTAATCCATTTTGTCTGGTTTATCGTTTGTCAACGTTCAACGCTAATTTCCTTATACTTTGCCAAGTGTCAAGGTATCCTAAGATAAATATAGTATTCATACAGCTACTCGCTTGTTAAAAATACATAGTTTTTGTGTCTGGAGGAGTAGCAAATTCCAACTAATTTCCAAGCAAATGACAAACCTTTTGATTTCAATTTACGGCGTATAAATACATATACTAAATAATATAAATAATAATACATTATTGGGACAAGAAGTAAACGTTTATCTTTGAAAACTCTACTCTGTTACTGATAAAGATTAAAATGTATGTTATTATTAAGGGATTGCTACCATGTACCAGTGTTTTTAATAAGTCCCCGATATTTCGGCACTGTTGCAAGCGCCATGATCACGGAGTAACTGTAGCAATCCCGTTAATAACATAAATTGCTTTGGTGATAGTGACCATGTAAGTTTAAAACAATATTATCGCTTATACTCCACTTTGGTCGAAAATGCGTTATATGTTAAAAGTATATCATTTGAATCAGATTTTTTTTCTGCGTCGATCTGTTTGTTTCGTCAAGATTTAAATACTTTTTTGGCTCTTAAGCAACAAAATTTTTTCAAGATCTGATTCGTAAAATGAAGGCACTGTGTAACTTTTTAATAGACATAGAATATTTATAAAATACTAGTGGCACGCCCTCGCTTCGCTTCGGGGTAGAATTGATCAAAATCCTTTCTTAGCGGATGCCTACGTCATAACATCTACCTGCATGCCAAATTTCAGCCCGATCCGTCCAGTGGTTTGGGCTGTGCGTTGATAGATCACTATGTCAGTCAGTCACCTTTGAGTTTTATATATATAGATTATGGTTTTATTTTTATGGCGCTACTTCTCATTTACTATGAGTTATGATTTTTTGAGAAAAAATACTTTGATCCTCGTTTCTGTAAAGTTACCAAAGTGGCGTCGAAGCGATTTGCTTTTCACTGTCGATATATTGATAAAGATCGTGTTGCAGACTTAATTACCTAAAAAGCCTGTCATCTCTGTCGGATGAAATAAAGGGCGGAAGCTGCGCCCGCGCAATTCAGCCGTTTATATGCAAAACTTCCATTAATCTTCATTCGAGTCGACCAGCATTATTCACACAAACTTAATGATCACACCTTTATTCAATGTAAGGGTTTAAAGACAGTCTCGTGATCTGGTCTCGTTAAAATTAAAAAGTGGAAGCCCACTTATAATAGGGATGATGACTATTTTTTTTTTCGTCAACAAACGATTTTTCTATTAAATTAGAATACTACACCATTGCATGTTTCTTCGTTTATCAGGTAGATTATGAAAAAGTATTGGACACGTATTTTTTCTTTTTTCACATAATATAAACATTACAGAGATATATTGATTTGAAAAGTCGCATGACGTCACGTTTTGGTACAATTTTCACTTGAAAGTGACGTCAAGAGCCCCTACTCCCAAACTTTGACGCGCTATAACTTTGTCATTTTTTGATTGATTGCCCAATGAGAAAATACGTGTCCATTATTTTTTGATCATCAAACTGATGGACTAAATAGAATTTCGTTTACTGTACCCCGTCATCACCCCTAATTCGCATTCATTATTTTTAGGTTATCAATAAATTTTATTTTATTTTGCGGCTGTCCTACTAATATTATAAATGTGAAAGTTTGTATGATTGTTACGCAATTACGCGAAAACGGATTTGGTTAAACTTGTACAAAAAGACAGCTTATATACATACGTGTGCTCATTACTTACACCTCTGCACTTATTATGGCAGCTAAGTATGAACACACACTATTATTACTAAGTTACCATTTCAATCACCTGCCCCTTTAAACCGAGACGTTATGTGATAGAAAAACTATATATCAATAGTTATGACCCTGCTAATTGCAGTAGCTAACAAGAAAGATACTAATACAGTACGATAAGATACAGTACCCTAAATTAACTCGAACACCTTTTAATAAATTGTTATGACCGACAACAACTCAAATTAACTTTTAACGGAACACATAGAAGGTGTATTATCGTTCGCTTCCGCTGGGATGCTCGCAAAGAACTTGCCTTTTTGTAATTTCTAAAGAATTTGACAGAAAAAGTTGACAGTTGATATCTCTTTAGAACCAAGGGCTAATATGGCATTACTAATGGTTTTTGTTTCGTTACGAAGTGTTAAGATTCTTGAGCCGCCACTCGATTTTGAACGTGAGTTAAGAACCTACAGGAGCTCAAGCATCAGAGAAACGGTTTAAGATTCTGTCTCCCAGCTGGCGATTTATGTATTTTTTTTTATCTAATTACCGTTAATTAGGAACAGTTAAGCCAAGTTATTAATTAATAAACACGCCTTTGTTAACAGCAGCGATGCTTCACACTGGACAATGGGCATGTATGAAGTATTGACTTCTGCTTAATTTGTTTCAATGATTATTCCATTCGCGGTAATTGTTACAAGTCTGTGGGTAATGACTGCTTTTCACTACAGACTTAAATCATTCCATGATATTGTCACTCTAATCAAAGAAAACCTTTTAATTTTTCATAAAATATTTTTTGTGTTTATAATTGTATGCTGCTATTATTATTCTTGTTTTTATGTAATTAATATGGCTGAAATCAATGAATTGAATTGAATTGTATAATTACCTAAATCGAAGAGCGTGAAAAACTTTCAAAAATATAATAATAACTTTTTGCAACTACAAATATATCAAATCTATTGTTCTAAATATAATAATTTATTTGTTATAATATCATTAAGTCACTAAGAGCATGAGCAAAAATACATTTAACAATTTAGTAAAATTTTGTCAGTTATAACATAACATAATCATTTTAATTTACTCTATAATTATTTCCCTAATAGTTAATAACAAGATATTCACTCAACATAGGTATTCATCAAATAATTTAAAAAATCACACTGCAGGTACAAGCGATGACAAAATTGCTAAATCTTCAAATAAGATTAAGTAAAAAAATACCCATAAAAATATCACCAACCATATATCAGACAGATTGTGTTGGACGTTCTCCTACCGAGATCATAATGGCCGTCGCACTAACCAACCACTCCGGCCCGTTTCGAATTTCTTCTAGCATTTTTTAGGCTGCAAGGCCGCGCCATCATTTCGTAGGTTACAATAAACGTATGATGCTTGCACTTCACATGACTATTTGTGTTTGCTATTCGTCAATTTGACAGTAGTTTGTCTTTATCATACTCTACATTCTATCTATAGGGACTGAAAATAAGAGACTGTGGTCAACCTTACAAATATCAAAATTAGTGACTTTTTATCCATTCATTCATCCATGTGAAGTGCCGGCGTGAAGGCGTGCGTTACATTTTTTTTCAATCTTATTTATTTTGAGACTTTTTTTACCCAATATAAAGAATATGCCAGCCCCATTTTAACCTAACTTTATAAATTACAAAATTATTATAAAACTACCAAGATTCATTTTTGCAAAAAATATTTATAATGCTTTTAAATACTTCAGACTGCACGCGTTACAATATAAAAATCTCAAACTACTTTTTATTTATTTCCAGGCGGCGCACGAGCCCACCGAGCCCCCCTCGACTTCGACCGCGGGGGCGCCCAGCGACCCCTAGTGGGCTCCCTCGGGACATCACCTCACAGTGCTACTACTACACCGGACGCCTATACAGTGACCATGTGTAAATGTTCCGACCCCATGCTGACAGTGTGTTCTAGTTTAAATTGTTGTTCCACGACAGTGTTTTGTTTAATTTTGTTTTTTAGTCAAGCGAGCCATTTGGAAAGGTGACTTCGCGTGAGGCGCGAGCTTAATACTACTGGTCATCGAATAAATTGACTCTTTTTTTGTGAAAAAAAAAGAAATACTATCAGTGCCTTTTGCGTTCAGCTGTACCTATACCGATTTTACCAGACAGAGTTACGATAAATATTCGCTTCATTGTATTCTTGATGCAGTAATAAATATTTTGGTTAACATAATTTAAAACAAAAAGTTGTATTTCTTTAAGGATTTTTCGACAATTCTATTTTTTCGATGACCAGTTTTTGTTTAATTTACCTATTAAAGGTATATTCGCAGTCCCAGGATCTGGCGTAAAACACTAGATTCGTGTATTTATATTTGTATATATTACTGGTTAAGGACACATCTCGTGGCATTAAGTCCGTATTATTATTTTCGTATAAGTAATATTAACGTACCAGCTCAAGTTTAAGTCTCCCGTTGAGTCACTTTTTTATCTTTAATTAATTACGCAACCGATTTTCATAAAACAGAAAGATGTTCAGTTCGTATTATTTTTATTAAATTTGTTACCATTTATGTGTTGGTGGCAAGTATGAACCACGAACATCGCTACACGAATATATTATATAAACAAAAAGTTAGTAAATAGTAATGGAAACTATCTCCTTTTAAATAGGGTATTTTAAACGCGACGGTTTAAATAAATGTTTGAAAAATAAAATGCGTATCGTTAATCCAATATTTCTTAAAAATTCTGCTTTACAAGTTTCGCCGCACACGGGCCACTCGCCACAGCCACAAACGCCGCCACGAGAAGCTAGAAGCGGCTACTAAAGTGGCTGAAGCGCGCGACAGCGGCCGACTAAGGTAAGGGAGAGAGGGGTGGGGAATCGCGCGAGTGACGTGTGGCGGCGTTTTGTATCGGCGCATTAAGTGGCCGGTGCGGGCCACAAGAAGCGAGCAACGACGATTTGTAGCGTGTGGCGGCCACCGGCGTACCGTGTGTGGCGAGTCCATATAAAATGTATGAAAACTACAAGAATTATGACGGTGGCGGCGTTTTGTGGTTTTGGTCGGTGGCCCGTGTGCGGCGACACTAAGAGCTTTTGTTACGAACAAGTACTACTTAATACAGATCTGACACCTAGTAGGGATGTAACCAAATGATAATTTCTGAAAGGAAAGGAAGTTGTAATTGAGGGTAATATAAAAAAAGCAATCGACTCGTGATTCGGAAGGCAGCAATTACCACCATTTCAGGAGGAATACGTGCTACAAATTGTTCAAATTGATATCCAATTATAGAAGGCTATATACTTAAACCATATACGTTTTATTAGACACTGCTGTGCTGACCATTTGTAATTCAATTCAATTCATTTATTTCAGACATTTTGCCATATAAATTATATAAATTCTAATAAATAAATTATTATTTCTACATTGTCATTCTTAGCATTGCCAGGCATTCGGCCGGACATAGTTAGGCTTTTTGATTGCGAGTCCGGACAAAATAGTAGGTTACCGGCTTTTCCGGCTTTTGTTAGACTTTTTACATTTCGCAAACGAACGAACGTCGAGTCAGTTTAAAAAAAAATGTCGTAACTAATATTCAGGCCTGGCAACCCTGGTCAAATTGATGGTAAGAAAGGGGTTAATGTATTATATATATATATATATATAATCTCTAGTGTGACGTTCGTAGCGTTTTAGCCCACACCAAGGTAACCTCCAACTTTTATGCTCGTCGGGAAGAGCTGCGCACCCATCCCACACACGCTTTTATTTACACCCCGTCTCGCAGAGCATTGTACGTAAGCAATATAATGCGTATAGGTTGCCATTAATTCTCGCCACTTCTTATTAAATTGACATACAATGATGCTTCACGTGTATTTTTAGGGTTCCGTAGCCAAATGGCAATAAACGGAACCCTTATAGATTCATTCTGTTTTTCGGACTGACAGACATGACAAATCTATAATAAAACTATAAGAACTGTACCATTAAAACTTGGTAATTACATGTATTCTGTGAACTGCATTAAGATTTTTACTCAAAAAAAAACAATAATTTACTTCATATAATAACTGAAACTCAAATTTCTTTTTCATCAAACCCGTACCGATAAACCAAACTTCCACCGAAAACTGGTTTAAACGAGATCTAGTAAGTAGGTTTTTTTAATACGTCATAAATCGTAAACCACAATTTACCTTTCATTTAATCAACTCAGATAAAAAAATAAAAAAAATACATTTAATTTTATAAACGTAAATTTTCCTTTTAACGAAACCTTTCGTGCGCGATTCCGTCTCGCACTTGGCCGGTTTTTTTAATTTGTATTTATTCTAAAGGCGATTGTTTCTACACGCGCGGCGCAACTGCCCGGAGGATCTGCCGATGAAGGCGATATATCAATACAATCTGTGAAGGGCTGCCAATATCATCTACTACAGCACTTTATAACTTATAAAAACGTAATATTCTCAAAATATATGTTACCTACCGACAGATCACAGAAGTTGCTACACATTGAATTCATAAACCTATTGCACAAGGCAAAATTAATAACGTTAAAAAAATTATTTTTAAACTTAAAATTACTAATGCAAAAACTAGAACGCAGAACGACACAATCTCTCAAAAAATATTTATCTTTTACTAGTGGCCCGCCCTCGCTTCGCTTCGGTGTAGAGCTGTAGTGTAGATTTAAATGACTCATCATATAAGTAAATATAAAAAAACTGAAAATAGTATATTTGCCTTTTCCAAACTTCTATTGACATCACGTCGCTCAATTGTTTTGCCTTCCCAGAATCTCTCCACTAACATTTGAAATTTATGGTATTGAAGTTCAAATTGACTTTTAAGTATTATTACGAATCGTTTATATGGTAGTATAGAAAAGTGTTGTTTTTGGTCATTTTCAGGCATTTTTTTAAATTTTCCTCTGCGTAAGAACCATCCTCGTACTTCAAGGATTCGTATCTAAAAAAAGAATTATCGAAATCGGTTCAGCTGTTCTCGAGATTTGCGCTTAGCAATACATTCAGCGATTCATTTTTATGTTATAGATTTTCATAAAAAGTTTTCTTAAGAAAACAAACCGCCTTATTACGAAACGTAGACTAAAACTGATACAGTCACTTCTATTTGCTAAAAAAAGACAGAGACAACATAAGGTTTAAACCAAGACTAACTTTAGTTCGCGTTTTGGAATAAGGCGGTAAGAGTTTGAAGTCTTTAAAAAACGAAATTTAGGCAAATTCTTGAATGTAGTCATAACCCTATGGTTATCGGTAGCGCAAGGTCACTCCCCTTCAAGTTAAGCGGCAATTCCACGCCCTCGCTCAGATATTTCAATTTATGGGGTGATTTTTTGCGGCCGCCATCCTGCGAGCGAGCCACGACGCACAAATTACAGTAGGTGCTTTAATTGATTAAGCACATTACTTTTTTCCCCACTCATTTTGCTTGTGTTATTATCTCGACAATAAACAAAAAGTGTTGTTTATATGACGAGACGCCGAGCAGGTAATATGGTGAAGTTTTTCATAAATTTCACGAAGTGCCCAAATCAGTGTGTTGAATAGAAAAAGTTCAAGGTTGTAAGCTTAGTTGATTTAAGTGTTTTCTTTTTTTAGATCAGAAACTCTTGTTTGTTAATTTTTGTGCCATGTTGACAATAATCCAAACTCATTTAACAAATGTTTAAAATAATGTTTATGGAAAAAGTCACAGCACTCATAAATCGTTCAATCTTTATTTCGGTCCAATCTAGGTACAATGTTCTCAGGCTACCAATGCAAAAGATTGTTGATATGAATAATATATTTTCTATTTGTCAAAACCGTAATAAAACCTAATATTTCAAAATTGTATTTTTCCATACAAGTGACAATTACCATTAAATTCCATGTACATTTATAAAGCATAAATGTATGTATTTAGAGATTCAATTACTCAAGGCATTCGGAATATTAGCCTTTAGACCTTTTCAAGTGTCGCATTTATATGAGTCTATTGATTGTGACAAATTATACGCTGCAAAGAATTTTGAATGAAATACCTTTTATCTGATAAATGAAAATTGAAATACTGGAAAAACGTAGAATATTAAGCGATCTTTTTGAAACTGGTGATTGTAAATAACTTGCGTTATTTATACTTCTATGCAATCCATCTAATCGGTCACATGCAAATTTGCAATTAATTTTAATATTCAAAGAAGGTTGCGTTTTTAAATATTATTATTTTTATTGTTGTTTTTTCTTAATTCAATAAGGACGTGTGGGAAAAAAACATATTTAATGTTTTCCACGTGATAAATATACCTATATGTTTGTGAAAGTTTCTGGAAAGCCATGATAAGTTTTTATCCCAAATAATCCGAACCAAATGCGCATAATTTATTTGAAGAAAATTAACATTCTAAATATGACGACTTGATAGTGAAAAGAACGTGATATACTTAGTATGAAAGTATTAGAAACTAACCATTGTGAGTACCATATAGATTAAAAAAAAACTCATTTTTTTCTCGGCATATTTTTGCCTTTCATCACAAACGCGTTCAACGATGCCTGAAATAAAATATCTCCTTTATGATTAAATATGTTAGTGCGTACATGGACCAAGTATTGGTCCTTGGCGTAGGTATGCTAACTATATCGCGCAGATAGTAAAAAAATATCAACAAACTTATCACATCTGAAACTGTCGAACTAATATTTCAAGTCAATTTCAATGGTCTGAAATGTTTGAAAAAAATCTATCATTTTATTGTAAATTTTTATGCTCTATTAATCGTGCAAATGCCCCTTGCGTGAGTATTACCTATAACAATTATTGAATTACCTTTTATTACAGATAAGTTTCAATATGCGAATTTCATTAACCTATTTTAATGTTTAAGCCGCTTTAAGTAGTCCAATATTACTGCTATAAATAAATATTACACTTTTATGTAAACCAATTTCGTACAGAAAATTACGAAAATAATGCTAGTTTTGCTAATTGCGGAGGTCGTGTAAGCGCACCTTTATGTGAAACTGGGCCGATTAAAATTATAGCTGTCAGGTTACGTGGCTGTTAAGCATGATCTAATGAAATTTTAAACAACCCGTAGTTTTAAAGCGAAGTACAGTAGAACACCGATTATTCGAACGCCGATTAACCGAATCGCCAATTATCCGAATCAGTCGTAGGCGTAATTTAAAAAATTAAAGCTAATTTATTTTTGCTTTATTTTGTTGTAATAAGTCTGTGCTCATTGGAGTCCAGATATATTTCAACAGTTATGGTTGAAAGCTAGAGGCATGACACTACCCGCCTTATTAATAAACGTAGACTATGCTTGGATTAGTTACTTCATGTTTTGCCACTGTCTTTTGAATGACAAATGGCATTTGAGTGACATGAACAAAACACGTCATAACTAGTCTAACTTATTCCTTGTTTATTAATAAGGAGGTTAATGTTTTGCTCGTAGTGTTTTGTGTGGCGCGGT